AACGAATGAGTGAAACCTGAACTCTTGACTTACAGAGGCACGGCTTACCGATTGCTGCAAATCCATTAGATGATGAGGTGTGAGCTGTGCTCGGTGGTACAGGTGTGAGTGAGAAATGAGTACAGTCGTGTCATGTGTGACTCAAGTTGGTAGCATCGCTACTATCACCACCACCACTGTCGTTACTGCCGTGACCACGACTATCATCGCTACCATCATGGTTATCATATTGATGATCAACGCTACCACCACCGCTATCATTACTGCCGTGACCACGACTATCATCGCTACCACCATCATCATTACATTCATGTTCATCGCCGTCACCTCCGATGCGCAGGCTTTCTACCTTTCTCGCAAAAGCGTGTTCCAGGAGGATTTTTACACGACCAAAAACACGACATTTCTGCCAGGTTAAGGTACACATTTTGGCAATGTTAAATGGCAATGCTTGCTGGCAGGAGATCATGAGAGAGACAGGTGTTATGGGTTAACGCGCCGTGATGACTTACAGATGCACCACCTGCACTCCCCACTGTGCTAACTCATCAAGTTTTTATCTGCCCCCAACGCTCTCCTCAGTCTGGCAAATACAAAGATCCCCCGCATAGCCTCCACAGACTGTTCGGGCAAGTGCTGCTATAGCGAGCAACTATTACGGTCGGCGCGACGAACGAGGGTGTTGTTGTGACTTGCACCGCAGCCACAGCCACCTTTGTCTCCCCCGTCCCCATCTTTACACACCACACCAGCCACTCATTCGAGGCTGCTTCGACCTGGAGGAGGCTCCCAGCGTCCGTTCAGATACCGCTCGCCATAGATGTCCGACTTTAGCCACGCCTGGGAATTGAACTCGGGGGGTGATGCTCATAACGCAGTGGCGCTGAGCACAACCCGCCACTGCTCGTCTTACTCACGCCGGCGAGCACACAACATTTATATATTTGCATAATGCATGACGTGCACGGCACGTAATGCGTGCGATCCACTGATAAGGACACGTGCATGAATGAAATGAGCTGCACAATCTAAACAAGCAAAACCTGAGCTACACGCAAAGTGACCTTTCAAGAAAATGTCAACTTTAATATGTCACGCGAAAGAACAGATTCGGCTGAATTGGTCTGACACAGAGATAGATCGCTGCAAATTCACACCGTGGTTGGTGATTGACTCTGATCATCATCCTAGTGTGGTCGATATAAATGCATTTCTCTTCATGAGTGGTCTATAGTAGATGCCCTATGACTATTCTGGTCCCTGCCATAGCAATATGAAATGTCCACCACTCGTTCAATTCAGATAAGCGCCACGCAAACACAAATTAGAGACACTTGAAATGTTGACTCTGGCTTGCTAGAGGCCGTTATCTTGTTAATATTTGGCTCTTTCGTAGGAATGAGGAATATACATTACTGGTACATTGCGAGAAATTGGAGATTATCACCATTACTAGCCCGTTTGAGTGGGATATTAAGATCCAGTGCTCTGCACGTGATGTGTGCATGTGCTTGTATTGTGCACTCCGAACTCAGCGACCTGAGTTCGATTCTCAGCGATGGCCATCAGCAGTGGCGGGTGATATCTGAACCAGTGCCAGACCTCCTAAAGTGCTGACATTACTTAATCACAATGTGATATCACACTTCTCACTTACAACGTTCCAGAAGACTCCGGGGACGGCCCAGGACACGCTGGTTGGACTATGTCGCTCGGCTGGCCTGGGAACGCCTGGGAATCCCCCAGGGAAAACTAGAGTCTGTGTATAGTAGTGTAGAGTGCAGTAGTGTAGTGTAAAGTGTAGTCGTGGATAGTGTAGTGTATAGTACAGTAGTGTAGTGTCGTGTATAGTGTAGTCGTGGATAGTGTAGTGTATAGTACAGTAGTGTAGTGTCGTGTATAGTGTAGTCGTGGATAGTGTAGTGTATAGTGTAGTAGTGTATAGTGTAGTAGTGTATAGTAATGTAGTGCTATAGTCTCTCGCCAGGGAATGGGAGGTCTGGACCGTCCACTACTCAGCACGCTGCTGCCGCGACCCTCACAAGGACAAGCGGACTGAGAAACGAACAAACGAAAATCCTCCTGTCATTACTTAACAATAATAGAAGGTTATTTCTTTTTTGTTTAGGCCAAATAAATCATGAATAATTTTCGATTTAAAGCTTTCGTGACTGCAAGGATTCATCTTCTTTGGTTCTTTCGGTAAAGTCACGTAGAATGAGAATAAAATAATAAATTGATAAAATAAAATAACACAATCATATTCTCACGACGTTTCGGCCACAACACAAGCGGCCTTCATCAGGTGAAGGGACGAGACTGTCTGGTAGGACAGCACTCCAGCGCTGATGAAGGCCGCTTGTGTTGTGGCCGAAACGTCGTGAGAATATTATTGTGTAAGTTTATTTTATCAATTTATTATTTTATTCTCATTCTACGTGACTTTACCGAAAGAACCAAAGAAGAATCATGAATAATATTATTGGAATGCGAAATCCTGTTACGTAAACAAAACAGCATTTGCAAGATGCCGTAATTTTGGAGAGAGAAAAAAGCAATTTACAGGCAAAGTGTATTTAGAAAAATATGAATGCAAAAATTACTGTTGCTCAGTCAAAAGGAATTCTGAAACTTGGGAAAGAAATCTACAATCTTCCCATCGGGTGCAGACAGACTATACAGTATTTCAGCTGGTAAGGCCCACCTAGCTATCAGCTGTCCCAAGGACGACCACAGCCCAAGACTGTGGGTAGTGGTGGCAGCTGTTTGAGCAAAACTTAACCAGGCTATATTTTTGTATTTTAAGTTATGGAACATTAAGTATATTAATATATATTAAACATGACAACTTACTGTGAACTGGATATACAGTAGATGGTCCTTAGTAATATTAAAATCAATTCGACACGGATCAATATTTATTTCAAAGACAAACGAGGTAGAACATATACACATATGCATCACAAACAAGGCGAAGTTTAGTTATAGCTCAATCAGAATTCAGAATGGAGACACTTTCTGAGTCTCCATACGATACACATCGTGTCCAGAGCGGTATCATTCATTCTAAACAAAATTACACGTAATTAGACAGCAGTTGGTACTACATGGTTGAGTTTTAGGATCATGTGCAAGATAAAATGTTCGTCAAGTAATGTTTAATCTTCAGTGAACTTCAAAGGCAGAGAACAGAAGCATGGGAAACAATAACAGGTGAGATAATATCTTTAAATATTTATAGAATAAAGTTGGGTAATAACACACAGAAATCAATGATGGTTTATTTATCCTGGAAAGCCATGCTGAGTCTCAGAAGTCTTCCTCAGGAGGGTCCTGCATTTTGTGTTTTATTTTAAGATGTTTTCAGCCAATGAATGCGTGATTTAATAAGTTTTAATGTTTTTTTTTGTGTGTGGAATATTTGCTGGTTGAATTACAGGATGTTTCTGTTGCGCATCGTCGCTTTAAGATGTTCTTTGTTCAAATTTTGTTTGTTGCGGTTGCACCCGACTTGAGAGCCGCATGGCTCACAGGGCTCTACCTAATAAATTAAACTTGAAACTTAATTAAATTATAAGTGTGGGATGAGACTGGAGCGCCTGGAGAAAACTCACACGAGCGAAGGGGCAACACTTTGCCTCAGCATAGATGGAAACAGGTGGCGATTAGTCCACTTGCTGTCCCGCCTTATCCCAGTCAGCTGGGGTATGGCACCTCGACACCCACGGGGAGCGAGTTTCACAACATCCGCGCAATTTACAGGACATCTGTGAGAAAGAGCTTTATAGCTCATCGGATTCCTCCGCTATGATTAAATGATTCAATCCACCAAAGCCTCGCTGCCTCCAGCAACGCTGGATTCCAGGTCACGTGCATAGCCACCACTGCCCGGCAACACCGGAGATGATGGTGAACGTGGAACGTTGGGCCAACGGGGGAGACGATGATGAACACGTGGCCCTCTCAATTGTCAATACGAGGTGGGTGGCCAGAGCAATGGGGGACACGTGGATGTCTCGAGCAAATGGGGGGGGGGGGGTGAATCCTCGATAATAATTTGTCTACATTAGGTTTCAAATGAGTAAGATAGTCCGGCGGTGGACTATCTGTTTGCTTAAACACGTTTATATTATTCATCATTGATCGTTTCTGCGTAGATTAACTATCGGCCGTTCTATAGGATTCGGGGGTGGGGGGGTGGGTGCGTCAGGCGTACGTACGCACGTGGGGGGGGGGGGGGTAAAACGTACGCGTGCGTACAGGGAGGGAAGGAGGGATCAAGTTTTGACAGCTTTTTACGTACGTACTCAATGGATGGCCCCTATCTGCGTGTGTGTGTTTAGTTGTATTGACACATCACAATTTGCCGTCTTAATTATAAGCTCTTCATTCGTGAACACCCTGCATCATCGTCACCATTGTAATGGATTAAGAGAAGCACATCTCAGCAGGATCATTATCACCACCAGTGCGCAGCAGCATCAGCAGTCTACCCGCTGTTGAAACTCGATATGCAATATCACCACGCACATCGTCAGTAGTCAAGGTCTAGCCACTGCTGCACGAAGGCATCAATGTTATTTTCATTATCATCAGGAACAGCAGCAGCATAACGAGCCTTAATCTGTCCACTGCAAGATGAAGGCATCATCATGCGTATCACCATGAGTCTCTGTTCATCCACTGCTGCGTTAGGGTGTCATAATCACGAGAATCATCATAATCAATGAATAATAGTCTACTGCCGGACAAAGGCGATGCATTGCATTGTTGTGAATTCTCGAACGGCGCAATTCTGCGTCCCCAGAGATATCTTACAGACAACGCTGATTCGTCACGGCCGTGCGTTTCTTGTTTCGTTGTTGAGAAAACCACAACGCTCGCATTTTAAAACCAACAATACAATGTTTAAAACAATCGAACGTTTTTGTCAGCGCTCAGCTGCAGCGCGCGCGCGCACGTGGCACGCGCGCGCGCCCACGCCCCGCTCCATCGCTTACCTGCGCCACGCACGACATGCACACAATCTCCGCCGTGCGTCTCTTCCGACCCCACAGTTTGGGCAGCCGCAAGGAAAGGGACGGCATCTTGGGGAGCTGGACCAGGGGGAGATCCCCGACAGCTCGAGAAGTCCACCGCGTGTGTGTGTGTGGGGGGGGGGGGGGGGTTGGCGGGAGGCTCGCCACAATGTACGATGTTAAAACAAAACTACTCGCGGAGGAAAACACACACACACACACCCAGCTACATAGCAACTAACTGATTAATCACTGGGAGTGTCCTTCCGAGCACGCAGTTGTTGTACTGCGTGTGCGTGCACGCGTGTGTGCCACGAATGCCGTATTGCTGGCAGCTGGGGGGGTGTGTGGGGGTGGTGTGTGACCGTTATGGGCTGGGTAGTTTTCCTTCCCCGCACCGTCGGGGCTGTGGCGTTGTACCGCGGTGGGCTCGCTAATGTGAGAATGTCCCGGGAATCTGGATGCAGCTTGGGTGTGGTTTGGGGCGGGAAGTGCGGTTTGGTCCCGTCCACTTGGGTTGACGTTGGGTGCCGGCCGGGGTGCTTGGTGGAAGTTCTGGCGATTAGGGGACACGGGCTAGGAGGGAGGGAGTGAGGGAGTGAGGGACCGATAAAGGCAGGCAAGCCAAGCAAGGGAAGCCCTGTGGATAATGGTTGGTAGAGGCCAATGCGTTGGGGTGTTAGGGGAGATAAGGAAATGATATGAGGTGGAGACTGTTGAAAACACGTGATCATGAGTGGACAAGCACGCACGTCATCCGAGCAATGGGAAAGTCAGTTGCAATATTAAACAAGCAGTCGACGAACGAAAGTATTGATAAGGCAACATGTTTAGTTGTGATTTAAAGCTTTCGTGACTGCAGGGATTCACATTCTTGGTTCTTTCGGTAAAGTCACTACGTAGAAGGGAAACAATCAAATACAAATATATAAAACAATGAAACTCTCACGACGTATCGACTGCAACACAAGCAATCACACCTGATGATGACTGCTTGTGTTGCAGTCGAAACGTCGTGATAATTTTATTGTTTGACATTTTTTTTATTATTTTATCGTTTCCCTTCTACGTGGTGACTTTACCGAAAGAACCAGGAATATGTTTCGTTGTGTTGTTTGGGATGTGTCGTTACCGAAGCACTTTGCTGTAATCTTTGAAGATGGTTGACCGCAAGATTTCTCGGTATTCTCATCAAACAGGCCACGTTTGTGAATATTTGCTCATTGCTACAAGCATGCGAGTTTGTGCAAGAACACACAGCCAGAGTGTCTCTTACTCAAACGAGGGATGCCGAAGGTCCTCTGTCGCTGCTGAAGGTACTGAACTAGTGGTGGAAATTCCACGTTCCCATGGCAAGGGCCAGTCCATTTATAGGATGACCAAGGACGACTTGCCACAAAGTGGTACCTCAGAATGATATGCTGTTAACACCTAACCAGGATTTAAACTCGTAATCTTCTGATTGTGAATCCAGCAGCTGACCAGGCGTAATGAATACAACCTTTATTAAGGCAATCATGCTGCAAACGATGCAGTGATTGGGGGGGGAGGGGGGTTAATTTTAAGCTCAAGTGAATGCGTGGATGCTTGCAGTCTATTTTCCAGAAACTCACAGCAATATCATTTTGACGGAAATTGAAATAAATCTATAAAAGCCCCAGCTGCTTAATACGTTCGAGTTTATAGTGTGTTTTCATTCAAGTCTCAGTTACAATAAAATCTCAGTTTCAGCTACTGTTACAATTTTATTTTTCCACTTTTGGTCACAGTAATCAAAGTTTTATTCGTTTTTTTATTGCAAGCCAAACTACAAATCACATTTATACGAGTCAGGTCATAGCTTCCAAAAATGTAGTGAAATAAAAGCACGCGCATTTTAGTTTGATGTTTCCCGGTGTTGCAATTGAGTGTTGGAGAGAGTGTAAATGTGTCAAAAGTATTTTACTTTAAAAAAAAGCCAACAGTGTGAAGTGTGACCAGGTGGCTCTAGGTCAGTGCTGAGCTGGCACGGGCTGATATATTGGGTTCTAATCCAGGCAGCCGTCTATGGGTAAACCGGCTTCATAAGTGTGGCGAGTATATAGTGTCAACCCCGTCAACATTGACTGCACACATACAAAAAAAACACATCACATTCAAATTTGGCTCTGTGTCTTAAATGCTGTATATAATACAGCTCTCAGAATTCAAATATTAGTCTGACTGCCATGGGACAAATATTGTTCTCGTATACAGAGTGGGTGGGAAATTTCTGCCGTCGACTGTGTAGAACAGAGGTCACAAGTAGAGGTCACAAGTAGAGGGCATCTCGGAGGCAGCTCTGTAATAAATGGGCCGTTCTCTCACATCTAAAAAGTTGTGCTTCTTACGGTTCCATCGAATGACTTAACACCGGGAGGACGATTGGGATAACATTGGAAAGGGGGGTGGAAATAGCATTTATGTATTTATTTTTAAGCCAACAATGTTGTTTTTTCCATTAACCTCAACTCATGGCTGCCGTTAATCGGCATCGCTGTAATTATGCAGGGGCACACATTTGTTCGTGTGAAAAATTCCAGCAATTATTGAGTGGGGTATGTTCCATTTTGGAAACTATGAGCTAGGGAGAACGTCTCTCCATCTGTGCCGCAGTGGTGAGACAGTAATAGTGAGTCGGTGCGACTGTAGCGAGATGTTAACTACGGCGCCTGGTTATACAGGAGGTAGTGGGCTCGATCACGACCCTGACGCCTGTATATTTGGAGTTGCATGTTTCTCTCCCCGTGGTCGTGTGGATTGGTCTCCGGGTCCTCCGGTTTTTCCCTCCACATTTAGAAGCATGCCTTTAGAATATGTGGCTGCTATACATTTCCACGTAATAAGTCACTTCGTTGAGCCATCATGTGTGGCCAGGTCGCTTCTGAAAAAGCTACATAGCTCAGTGGGCCTTACCTGGTAAAATAAAAGGAAATAAATAGTGCTGCCGGGAGAGCTTGAAGTCATGAAGCCACTAAATCAGTGCCATTGGACTACTCTCGTGATAAACACCAAATGGTGCAGCTGTCTGCATCCTGCAAAGAGTGTTTGAAACATTTGAATCCAAAATGTGACATCCATCATCAGATTCAGAACATGTATGTTGAACTTCTTTCGGACCATAAGTAGCCAAGTAACCAACCGCGCTAATTGGAGCTTCGGGGGGAAGGATAATAAACTAAAGACACAAAGAAGTTCTCAAGAAATGAGTTTTCAATGTATATTTAAAAGTGCATAGCTCCAGTAGCTTCCTAATATCGGAAGCAACAGTGTTAAATCTAAAATATTTGCAGAGTAAAAATGGCAAAGTTAAACCAAATTCAAGAGAGGTTTGTCCTATGCAGAACACTGTAAACGAAATATGGATTTCCCACCACTGATTCATGGCAATCGCTGTAGATTAGATGACACTATGACCCTTTACTGACAAAATGGAACGTGAAGTGGTTTTGTGAGGTCGTGAGTAACCGAACTGGGACCATCGACTCACGAAGCCTGAGCATCTCCTGGAAACGATGGTGGCTGAAACCCAGATAATAAACTTAGGATCTCGGTAGTGTCAGCCGAGTGTGTCTGACATGGCCATTGTGACCACCCTTAAGCCACCGGACCCCCTCCAAACTTAGCAGCTATTGTGGTCATTTACTGAACTTGTTTGTTCATACATTTCCTCTTTTCAATGCGCGGAAGCAAATGATCTGATATCGCCACGGTGTCATCAGAGTCTAATATTGTGCCCTCGGCGCACTGTGCGTGCGCGTTGTTATTCCTCCAATCGGACATGACAGAAAAAACAAAACGCGACGAGCGGCTGAACATACAGCAAACACGTACAAAGGGGAAAACAAATCGGAAAACGGCGCTCCGAACGAACGAGGGAAACACGACACGCGCGCTTGTAAGCGCACGCTGCACTCGCAGCTTGTTTTACCATTCGTCGCTCGTGAAATCTCGGAGGCAACGGGAGAACACGGTGACGTGAACCGTGCCCGCGTGATACTGCACACACGCTTACTGCGCGGGCCCGGTGGATCATAATGCTCCGGTCAATCGGCGTCAAATGTCGCAGCAGCGTTTATTTAGCACGCTCGAATCTGGTTTGGCGTTTTTTGCCGCTTGAACAAATGTTGCTGGATAATGTTGGTCTGGAAAGCCAATAGGCTGATGGACGAACAAATCTAGTCGTTTATTTACGCGAAGTGGCATGGAACAGAATTCTGCTTTTAAGTGCCAAGCAAATAATTTCAAAAAGCAGTGAATTAAGAAATTGGTTCTAATTTGGCCAGGTGGCGCTGTGTCACAGCACTCAACTCACAATGAAAAGGTGTCAAGTTCTTCACAACACAGATTTGCTTCGATCATTCTATGACCGAACCCAAAAATCTATGATAAATCATATTGGCGGTGAAAACCTACGTGTAAAGTTTTACAATAGGAAGGCTGTAAGTTCAAATCCTCGTCGGCTGCCTGCTATGCCCATCACACCTCTGAGGTCTATAAATGAAGCACCATGCTGTAGGAAGTCATCAGTAACCCCCCGCACGGCAATGTGTAATTGACATCACTGGCTCAGGGTCGCCAACTGAAAAGAGCGCTGTACAATTAGACTCATGGGAGTTCCAATGCCGGATGATCCGAGTAGCAAAAGTAGCTACTACATGTGTAGTAGCTACGGGCCCCCCACTTTCAAGGGCCCCGCGCTAAATGCTTTCAAGCTATCAATTCCAGTTCAGTGATTCTGCACTTGCTCTATTACTAGAGTACTATACTGACTTCAACTTTTATGAACGACTGGGTGTTTAAGGTTAGCGATTTGTCGTATTATCTGGCTGTATAGCAAATTAAAAAAATACAATTACTTTACTATGCAAGTAAAAAATGTGGGTTTAAATATTTACGTGTTTTTCGTTTAATTTAGGGCCCCTTCATGAAATTTGCTACAGGCCCCGCACTCGCTGAATCCGGCACTGGCCAGTTCCACGATTGGAATACAATCTAAAATATCACAAAAATGTACTTTTTAAAATTATTATTACAACTCAACGCGAGCCCGGTACAAAGCGCCGATCACAGAATGGAGGGGGAACCACAAATTCCGCGAGCAACAACAGCCTGACTTCGGGGAGACACACAAAAAAAACAACTGTTTTTAATGAATACCTTTCAGTGCAGGTCATGTGACAATGATGAGTGCAAAAACCAAAGGTTTTGTAAATTTGAGCATTTCTAGTCCCGCCCCCCCCCCCCCGCCGCCGCCGCCACGCGCCGCTTCTCGCAGATACACAAGACAATTTAGAACGCGTGTCTCGTCCAGAACATTTTTACTTCCATATCGCACAGTGGGCGCACGCAAAACGGGGGCCGGCTGGAGGAGCGCAGTGAAGGGAGAGCTGTGCGCCGCACGGCGGTGTTGGCACTCGCGCCCGGCGGCAGTCACGAGCCGAACGGAGCCGGGCGGCTCCCGTGAGGTGCCCATTGTCCCCGCCGACACGCGTTCCGTTTTGCGGGAGACGATTTGGCCCGAGCGTGCGTCCCGGTGCCGTGAGAGCGCCGCGCTGCGCTGGCACGCCTTCGCACAGGATCGCGATTGTGCCAGGCTAAAAACCCGTGACAGTGTGTGTGCGTTGTGCACGGTCACGAGCGTTTTATACGGGTTCTTGTGCGATGCCAGATTCACTGAGCATTGTTTTATTTATATATCAAAGGCGATTAAAAAAAAAAACCCGTCTAAGTGTATGTGTTCACACGGGCGTGAACGGGTGGGTGACTTTTCTAAACACTCTCTCATTGTACAGCCAGGGTGCAGAACCGTCGCCACTCAGGGCCGTGCTCAGATTCAATCATTAATACACTCT